CCCCCCCCCCGGCCCCTGCGAGCGCAACGATCTGCTGCTCGCACACAGCACTGAGCATACAGCCCGGCTGGTTTGGGGTGCCCCTGGGTTATCCCAGGTGGGGCTGCAGCAGGACTGCCAGTCCCAAGGGAGATCCAGGAGGGACCGGCTCATTCCCCCAGGGCTCCTGCTGATTTCGCAGGTGGGAAAGGTGAGACAAGGGTTTGGGTTTTTTTTTTGTGTCCAGACCCCTGTAAGGGCAGGATCCAAAGAAAAGGGCCTGATGTACAGGCAGGAAAGGTGCAGCGGGGCTGGGGTGCCTGCCCCCACTGAGCACCGGGGCTGATTTCGGCAAGATCCTTCTCCCACCAGCGCCAGACTGTCCAAGAAGGGACACCAGGCTGTCCAGGCCATGACTGCACAGAGGGGACAATGCCACACACACTCTCCCCCGTGCCTTTTCCAAGTCCCCCCAGAGCATCACTTTCGCCCAGCGCCACATCCTTCCCCCCATGGAGGGGGGGCCCAGGGGGTCCAGTTAAGGCTTTAGGCCAGAAATAAAGCGCTGCTCAGCGCTGGTCTGAACACAAGGACGGTGGCCGGACCCTGGTCCCTCTCCCTGCAGCATCAGTCCTGGAGGGATGTCCCCAACCAGTGCCTGGGGACCAGCGTCCCTCCCTTGCGGGGGGACTCATGGCACGGGACAGTCCCAACATAAGTGTCCCCATGCCCCAAAGCCATCCATCCCCCTGCGGTGGGCGATGCTCCTCAGCATCCTGGGCCACTGGCTCTGCCAGGACAGGCGGCATGCCTTCCGGCTGGGGGCCACCACGGAGGGGAGGGAAGAGCCACCGGACGCGTGACAAATGGACCTGTCCCATCGAGAGCTGCAGCAGTCAAACTCGGACAGGTTTGGTCTCTGGCACGAGGGTGCAGCGAGGGCTCGCAGCTGGGATGGATGCAACCCTGCCCACACACTGTGCAGGCAAAAGACAACCACTGCACGCTCCCTGCCCTGCCGGCATCCCTGCCTGCGCGCTGCCTGCCCCAGCATCCAACCTTGCAGGGCAGCGAGGTCGGGGCAAGGGCTCTGCGGTACCTCCGGGCCCCCCAGGACCAGCGCCACAGACCCACACAGCCTGTCCCCTGGCCGGGATGGGGATGCCTTGCTCTCAGCCCGGGGGTTTTGGGGGTGCCTTCATCGTGGCGCCCGGCACAAGCAGCATAAAGCCCGGCAAGGGGCCGAGGTGGGACTGGTCTCTGGATCCAGGTGGAGCAGCAAAGAGATGCATGCGGATGCACGCGGATGCACACCGCTTGGATGGAGATTTCAAGGGCTCCTGCCGCCCGCGGGGTGACCCCAGCCAGGCAGGGGGGCTGAGTGCTGCCTGCCCCCGCACCCCAAATTTCAGGGCTTCCCCGATCAGGCTGGGACAGACCAGCCCGAGGGTGTTTGTGCTCGCAGATGAAGCTCCTCGCAGAGGACGAGGGTCCTGCTGGCAGCAACGGTGGCTCCCGGAGG